GTCTTTAGGCCCTGGAGGTTTTTTTTTTTTTTTTTTTTTTTTTTTTTAAATGATGCCTTATGGGCATTTGAGATGCCTAGTAATGTGATGGAAAATCTCAATGTGTGGAATGGTACAGAACAGCAAACACGTTTGGTTTTCTTGGTGTCCTCCGTATAAATCCAGAGTCAAACCTTTTTCCCCAGGATTAAATCATACTCATTTTATTGGTGGTTGGTTACTGCTTATGCAAAAACCTGAAGAGTGTGAGATCAAGATCAAATAATACAATAATGTCAAGATCAAATAATACAAGAGATGAAATAACAGGTTTTGGTAATGCAGTCTCCATCTAGCTGCAGGAACTATACCCATGTCCTTAATGAATTGGAGGCAGAGCCATCCCTAGGGGTGTGCGGGGCCTGGGGCAGAAGTGATGTCACTGCCCGGACCTACTGTGCCGGGGATGGGTAGGGGACGCTGGGGGAGGTGGTGCCTCCCCTCCCCCTCCCCTCCTCCCCAACAGCAAGGCGTGGCCCTGCACATGCTTTTCCCCAGATCCTGCTTCGGCAGCGCAGCTGGGCTCCAGAGGGCTGGGGCTACGCCGCCCGCCTTCCCGGGGTTGAGGAGGCTGCAGCAGCGCCCCCGTGCTCTCTCCATCCCGGTGTGCTCTCCCTTGGGTGGAAGGGGCAGGCTGGGGGTAGCCTCCCCTAGCCAGCCATTTGCCTGTTGCGCCAGCCAATTGTGCCACCGCACGGGGGCCCCCGAAGCATGGGGAACCGGAGCTATCGCCCTGATTCTCCATTCCCTGGGGACAGTTCTGAGTGGAGGTGTGAGAGTGAGAAGTTACCTGTAATAAGATCACTTTCGGTTTAATTGTCTGGAGATTGCTTTAAATCAGAGGGGGGCAAACTACGGCCCATGGGCCACATCCGGCCCGCAGGACCCTTCCCTCTGGCCCCCGAGCTCTTGCCAGGGAGCAGGGTCAGGACAGGCTTGCGGAGGAGCCAGCCCAACTCCCTGGCAGTGCGGTGAGCGGGGAGGAGGCCAGCCCCGGCCTATCCCCTTCTGCTTCCCTCCCTCACTGCCTCCCTCGCAGTCACAGTTCACCCAGCGCCTGGGCAGTGTGGCTGCAGCTCCGGCCGGGCGGCATGACTATAGCGCCTCCACCAGACCTGGTGCTCCAGGGTGGCGTGGTCCGGGGGCAGGGAGCAGGGGGAGTTCCGGGGGAGGCGAGGAGCAGGGGGGGTTGCAGCGGGGCGGTCAAGGGGCCTGGGCCCTGCTGACGGAGGCAGAGCAAGCGAGGGCCCCCCTCCACCCCCAGCATGCTTGACCCCTGTCCCCAGCAGCCAAGCCCAGACAGGGAGCGAGCCCTGCCCGACTGCCAGGGAGAGCAGCCAAACGAGCAGGGGAAACACACAGGGAAAGGACTAAGACCCCTTTCCCCCACCCCACAGGTAATGTGAGGCACGTTGAGCAGGGAGGGTTGGATAGGATGTAGGAGTCTTGGGGGGCAGTCAGGGGGGTTGGCTGGGGGTGGGGTTCTGGGGGGCTGGATAGGGGGCAGGGGCTAGGCCACGCCTCGGTGCTTGGGGAGGCATAGCCGCCCCCAGCCTTCCCTTACCCGGCCCTCCATACAATTTCTGTACCCAATGTGGCCCTAGGGCCAAAAGATTTGCCTACCCCTGCTTTAAATGATCAAGATGTCTTTCATGATAAAGATTTCATGTTGGTGTTTTGTGACATTGAGCTGTTGCTGTGCTAGTGTCCCTATGCCCTAAGAGAAACTAGTTTTTTCATCTCTCCCATGCACTGTGCTTGCTTACATTAGGAAGTAATTTATGTACAATGGTCTTCTATGCATCTTGAGACTTTGGTCTATTGATAATATAGCTATGACAGATGCTTAGTACTATCAAATGGTTTTAATACTTTCTGTGTTACGTTGTGTGTGTTTGAGTCCACAGCGAGTTTATACTTTCTGAGCTCAAAAAGCATTTGAAATTACCATTACAGGTATGATATGTTGAGGATGAGAATTGTGATGCTAGTAATTGAAAGATAAAACTTAGAGATCTGCTGGAGATGGAATGCTTATCTAGACCTGTTTCAAGAAATAAGGGAAGTCCCACCTGGAAGAAAATTAATCCTAAATTAAGTGGGTTTTATTATTATTACCAAATTTATTTTAAGTTAAAACTAATTTTATAAAAGTCAGTATCGCATTTTTAAAATGTTTATACCAAAATATTTGCTATGAGCTCATGCCAAGTTTGATTTCTAGTATATGGGCTTTACCTTTTAGCCATACTTTTTCATACAAAAATGCAATTTCATGTCCTTGCCTACAAGCCCACAGAAACTGGTGTTCTAGGAAGTAAAATTCTGACAAAAATGACATCTGTTGCTCTCATTTAAAAGATTTAGGCAGGAGTAAGCATGCCTGAATGCAGTGGCATAAATCATCTGACTTTGGGCCTGTTTTTAGAAGAGGAGGCATCACTGAACACCTGCTTTCCTGCCTCAACACATAATGTTTTTTTCTTTTTGTGAAAGTTTACAGCTGATTGGGTGAGAGGAAGAATAGGCAAAATTCTTAATTACCTTTTGTTATTCAGATTCTCTCTGGCTAATGACAGAACTCATGTTTATAGCCAGAAATTGAGTCCTAGCCAGTTTCTTCATTTAAACAATTTGTAAGAAGTATGAACAGTTTTAATTGTTTAATATTAAAATGAAAGATTAAAATATTTAATGCATAAGTTCTCAAATTTTATGTAAAAGGTATAGTTATATTATTTGAGTGCTCTGTTCAACCCTGAAAGACAGAGTGGAAACAAAGTATGAAATTAAATCAGTGGCTTATAGAATTCAATTCACTTTTCTTTTTAGTATGTTACTAAGTGGTGGTAATATTGGTGGTTATTGACTGAACTCCATGGAGATTTGAGTGCTTGTGCACATCTGTGTATCACTGTAGGTCTTTGTGTGACCAGATCAGTCGTCACTAGTACTTGTCAGGGCAGCACATGTGCCCCAGTGCATCCCCATGCATGCAGCCAAGGGTGTAGAGGACTGAGCTGCTCCAACCCACTTTCAGTTCCTCTTACCCCTCTGCCCCCTCTCCACTGCGAATTGGAGCTCCAGCTTATGGTTCCTTTTAAGCGTTTAACACTAAATTTTTGTGTTAGCTAGCTCTTAGTTAGGTTTAGTGTAAATAACAATAGTTTTTCTTTGTCCCTTTTGTTTGTTCTTCTTCTGAAGCCCAGAGGTGTTGATTCAGCACAGAATCCCTGGGCTTCAAACATTGCCCTTCCTGTGAGACTGTTATGCAGGGTGTGTGGTTAACTGGTCAGTTTATAACTCTGAGGTTCTATTGTATTGCACTAATTTGATATTGAGTTTTTTATAACATTCCTCTTTACAAAACCTAAATTTGGAGTCCTAAATAAGTTGTGTGTCATTTTTAGGTTCCTTAAATATCACAAAAAAGACACATAGCTGAATACATGTTTATGTTCACAATTTGCATATTCCCTTTAAACCATCTGTTACAATGGAATCTTTTTTCTTTTTTACATATTGTTAAATTTTTTGCAGTATTTGATTCCACCCTCTTAACATTAACAGAGATGAAAAGTATAGTTCAAAAGGAATAGGTTTTTAAATTTAAATTTCTATTAGAATAGAATGTTTCATTGCTTCTGCTCCCAGATGCTTAAAATTCTGTTGTAAAAATCATATTGATTCTATATTGCATAAAAATAATTGGTTCCTATGCTGTTTTGTATTAAAAGGATGGGTGTGTTTACACAAATTCTCACATTTGTTAATATCTGGTATTTCTCAAAGTTCACATAATTGGTAGCTTCTGTAATGTTGATTTGAACGATTCTGCTGTTTCAGGATGAATTTCTAATTGATGTAATTTTCAATTCTGCTTTTTTCTTTTATATTTTTAAAGCTGCATCCCGAAAAAGGAAGCTAAGCCAATCACCCACAAACAGTTCTGAAGATAGTGGTGACCAAATTTCAAAAAAGCAAAAAACGAACTCTGTAAGTGTTATCCTTTCTGTCTTACAGCCACAAAATAAATTCATCCCTGATGGCTTTGGGAACATCAGGAGCCTCCTGAATTAGAGCCTTATCTCAGGAAATCACACTTCTCATTATTGGAGTTAATAGCTCTGCTTCCCCCTCTCTGACAACACTCCTGACTTAATTTTTTCATTATTTCTTGATTTCCACCCCCCTTTTTTTTGTAAAGATGATATGCTTCAATATTCTATGTGTATTGAATATCTGAGTGCCAACTGCAGTATTGGCATGGGGAAAAAGGGAACAACAGTTAAGGACATGGTCCTGTGATGTGCTCAACACCATCAGTTCCCATAAAGCCAGTGGAAGCTGTTGGGTGTGCAGAGCCTGTCCGCATCAGAGTTTGATCCTAAGTTAAGCATCAAGAAATTGCTTAAGTTTTTCTGTATAATTTCTCTGAGGCAGGACAGTGATATATATATCTTGATGCTTATATATAAAATAAAATGGTAATTTAGTTGTTTTGGGGAAATGTTTACAAGGAACTTGGAACAGTAAACCAAATTTTAGGTAATTTTGATAACCTTAGCTAGTAAAGAGGAGCTGTATTCTGAAGATGATCCATTCAGTTTTGTATCTAATATATTTGATGTACATTTCTATAATCCCATCTTCAGGCCAAACCCTGGAAAAGCACACGACATCATGGCAAAAGGATGACATTAGACTATGGTATAGCAAGGATGGGAATTCTTTTGTTAAAAGTAGAGATGGGTGGAGAAAGGCAATTACATTTCAGAGGATTTTGTTACCGTAGATTCCGCTTAATATCAGTCTTGATTATTAGCAATTTCTGGTTAATGGCGACATATTGTCAGCGATTAAATCCCCACTTATCAACATCAATGTTAATGAGATTCAGCTACTAACAAGAGGCATGCTGCTTACTAACAACTCTTTAGAGGAGCGGTCCTACCTGTAATCAGATTCCTGGCTCTGAGCATGCACAGCTGAGCACTTATGTATATGCCATGTCTTCCAAATATATGGATGTATTTCTCACCAGTAAATTCGGTTCTGTAGGCCCTATGTGAGCCTGGCACTAAGCAAATGTGAGTAGCTGAGAAGTTTCGTCTCAAAGTTGGTTGTTTCGTTCATTCTGAAGAACCGCCGTAACATTTTTACAGGCGCATGGGAACAGCACAAAGAGGCTGCAAGCATCAAGACAATGGAAAGGAGACCGATGTTGGTGAAGCCCTGGGGCTCTGGTTTCAGCATAAGCTTGGCCAAGGTGCTCAACTCTCTGGGTTGATGCTGAAACAGAAAGCGAGTCAGCTGGCAGCAGAGCAGGGGAAGGAATTCAACCCTGTGGATCGCTGGTTCTGTTGCTGGAAAGCCCAGCACAGTGTCATTCAGCGTAGGGAACGCCGCAAGAAACAAGATGCTGATCTTCTGGTGGGTAACGAATGGAGGGTGGATGCCTTACCTAGCATTCTAGAGGAGTTCCAGCCTTGTGATATTTTCAGTGCTGATGAGACTAGTGCTGAAAGAGGCCTAGGTATGCTGAAAGAAGGGCTTGCCGGAAGGAAAAAAGCTACGGGCCTCATCACGGTGTTGTGTTGCGCAAACCTGGATGGGACAGAGAAACGGTCTCTTACGGTGATTGGAAAGAGCAAGTGCCCTCGTTATTTCCCTAAGGACCACTCAAAGCTGCCCATGATCTACAGAAGTTCAGCCAATGCCTGGATGACAAGTGTGCTGTTTGAAGAGTGGCTAAAGAACTGGAACAGGGGACTTCAGGACTGCAATGTCTGCCTGTTTATTGATAACTGACCAACTCATTCAATTGTAGAGCTGTCACACATTGTGTTAAAATTTTTGCCTCTGAACACAGCCTCTGTTATGCAGCCGATGGAGATCGGTCTCGTTAAAAACTTCAAAGGTCACTGCCATGCTCGTCTTAGTGGACGCATCATGGCCTCTCTCTATCCTGACCCCACATCTACTAGCAGTGGATGTTGCCAAAAAAATAACTGATGCACTTCATCTTGCTAAGGAGTCATGGGCTCCTGTTCTCCTCAAGACTGTTCAAAGCTGCTTCAGAAAGGGCAGGTTTGTATGAACAACAGAAAATGCTGGCTTGGGTGGACATTGATATGCTGGCTGACGTTTCAGTTCCTGACAGTCTTAACAGCTAAGGAATTTGAGGCCATTGTTGAGTTTGACAGTCATTTGGAGATGGAAGGTGAGTTCACTGATGCCAAACATTTGGAGATGGTAGAGGTGTCAAGTGCCTACAGGCTGAGGCACAAGTGGATAGTGGATGGGACGATGAACCTGCAGAGCCTTTGCTTATACAACAGCTATGGGCAGCGGACGTTTTCTGCAGAATATGCCAGAATCATGGCTTTGAGAGTGGTTACGAGGCTGCACGCAAAATTGAGAAGGATTTACAGTTGGAGGTGGCAAACTGTATAAAGAAGATAACAATGGACAAATGGTGTTCTTAAAACATTTTTTTTATATGAAATTTTGTGCTGCTTTACTCTCACACATATGAGGAGCACTAACTGTAAATACTGTGCAGTTCAGCCTATAGACATACTGTAAGTTTTCTTGGGTGCTTTTTAAATGCTTGTCATGATAGAATTGTGTGCCACTGTAGTCTTTGTGACCTATAGCAATCTAAGATTTCCTACATCTGCTCTATGCATTGTGGTACACTATACAATATATCCATTTCTGTATGTCACCTTTGGTTTTCTTCTTCAGGACATTGTATCAAACTGAAAGTTAATAAACAATTCATTGTACAATGTATCATTGTTCCACACTCATATTTCTATGTATCCCCCTGAAAATAGTGCCTTCTGCTTATTGGCAACTTCTGGAAAACAGCAACTTTTCTCTTGGAACTCAGAGGTTGCTAATAAGTGGAATCTACTGAATTTTGAAATCTGATTTAGTTCTGATTTGGGGGAAAAAAACCATTTTTCTTTCCAAAAGGGAATGGAGCCAGACTGTCCTGGAACCATGGACTCTGGGAGCCCAAGCGGCCAGGGAGCTAGCAAGCCTGGGAGATGGGACTCCGGGGTTCCAGGCTGCTGGTTCCCTACTAGCCTGCCAGATGGGCTGCTGGGGAGCCATGAGCCTGGAAGGTCCAGGCTGCTGAGGACCTGGGCTGGTGAGCTGGCAGGAGATAGGGCAGGCTTCCAAAGGAAACCTGGTAGCCAGGTTTTGAAACCTGCTGGGTGGGCAGTGTTCTGTTAGAATCTTGAAATTAAATAATCTCTTTGAAACGTTTTGATTTCAACAAATCAAATTCCACCACAAAAATGTTGTCTGAATTTTTCTAACCAGTTTCACAAAAAGCCTTCATAAAATGTGTGTTCAACCTAAATGAACAGAAGTGAGAGAATTACAAATTAAGGGCTACCACTTCACCTTGGTTTGCTAATTAGGGACTAGAAACTAGACGCAGTACCTGGACTTGCTAAGTGTTCATTTTAAATGTTACTGTAGTTATTAACCTGGGACCCATGTGCTCCATAGGCAGAGTGCTAGCAGGTGAGCTGACAACTACTGTTGGGCAATTCAGTAGCTTCTAGCATCATGCAGCTAAACATCTGAGAGGGCTTCATGAACATTAATTAAGCCTCATAACAACTCTGACACATAGGTAAGTAGTAGTATAACCATTTTACAGATGAGAGAGAGAAGTAAGGTGATTTGCCTGTATGTCTGGTGATTCGTCAGTATGTGCATACCACTGCTAATATTGCTAGGCAGCTGCATTGTGAGCTTGATCGTGACCTTCACCTCAGGTGAACAGGGAGTTGGTCTGTCACGAGCTCTGTCCCTGGCCTCTGCTGAGAAGGGATTGCAAGTTGGCCTGACTGCTGTGGTGATTTTTAAAGAAGCTTCCTTACTGTGCTTATGTGATCTAACAATATGGTTAAGCACGTGATTCCCAGAGCTGGCTGGAAAATACTGCTGGCCTTCATCCACTTGGTCACTTAGCTTCACGTGAGCCAACAATGAGATCTGGATAGTAGAGAGGTCTGGTTATTCTTTTTGTAGGCGCTACCGCACCCCATATTGGGACTCCTTGTGTGGTGTCCCCCGCTTGCTGATGTAAAAGTAACCTAATGTTGTCCTACATCCTTCCCTGAGTTGAGCCCTTTTTGACCTTGACACTGAAGTCATCAAGACTTGCTGTTGGTATGGATGTTGAAATGATCCGGAACCATAATTCCTTGAGTTTTTGTTCAGTACCTCATGGTGTCACCAATGGCCTAGGACTTTTGCTGGCTTCACTCCTGCTGTTTGACATGCTCTGGATCTTATCTTTGGGCTGGACTGGGAGATACAAGGTGTGAAGATCAGATCACAAGTTCATCTAGACCAAGGAATAAATGGTCAGTTTTCAGAATGGAGAGCGATAAATAGTGGTGTCCCCCCAGGGGTCTGTACTGAGATCAGTGCTGTTCAACATACTCATAAATGATCTGGAAAAAGAGGTACACGGTGAGGTGGCAAAACTTGCAGATGATACAAAACTACTTAAGATAGTTAAGTTCCAGGCAGACAGCGAAGAGCTACAAAAGGGTCTCACAAAACTGGGTACAGAATGGCAGATGAAATTCAATGTTGATAAATGCAAAGTAATGCACCTTGGAAAACATAATCCCCATTTTACATATTAAAAGATGGGGTCTAAATTAGTCAGTGCCACTCAATAAAGAGATCTTGGAGTCATTGTGGATAGTTCTCTGAAAACATCCACTCAATGTGTAGTGGCAGTTAAAAAAGCGAACAGAATTTTGGGAATCCTTAGGAAAGGGATAGATCAAGACAGAAAATATCACATTGCCTCTATATAAATCCATGCTATGCCCGCATCTTGAATACTGTGTGCAGATGTGGTCGCCCCATCTCAAAAAAAAGATATATTGGAATTGGAAAAGATACAGAAAACGGCAACAAAAATCATTAGGGGTCTGGAACGGCTTCCATATGAGGAGAGATTAAGAAGACGGAGATTTTCAGCTTGGAAAAGAGACAACTAAGGGGGATATGATAAAGGTTTATAAAATCATGACTGGTGTGGAAAAATTGACTAAGGAAGTGTTATTTACTCCTTCACATAACACAAGAACTAGGGGGGGTCACCCAATGAACGTAATAGGCAGCAGGTTTAAAACAAACTAAAGGAAGTATTTTTTCACACAATGCACAGTCAGTCTGTGGAACTCTTTGCCAGAGGATATTGTGAAGGCCAAAACTATAACAGGGTTCAAAAAAGAACTAGATCAGTTCATGGAGGATAGGTCCTTCAATGGTTATTAGCCAGGATAGGGAGGGATGGTGTCCTGAGCCTCTGTTTGCCAGAAACTGGTAATGGGCGACGGGGGATGAATCACTTGATGGTTACCTGTTCTGTTCATTCCCTCTGGGGCATCGGGCATTGACCACTATCAGAAGACAGGATACTGGGCTGGATGGACCATTGGTCTGACCCAGTATGGTCGTTCTTACGTTGATTTCTTATATTGTTATATGGTGAGTCCATAACAGAACTGAGAGTAGAATTTGGAAATCCTGGCTCCAATTTATGAGCTTTAACTGCTAGGCCACATTCCCTGTTTCTTACAAACCAGTAGGAACTGTAGTTCTCCTAGACTCTCTCTGTGTTGGAAATCTTTTGTCAGGAAATCTTTTATCAGGGTTTGGTATAATTTTATTGTGCCTTAATACGATATTCAGTTTCCTAGGATTTTACATTTGCCAAAATTCTGACACAAAGTTGAACTTCATAATGGCTTTAAAGGGCCATTTTTGAGTAATTGACTGTTTCAGTTCTTTAACCATGTCTGCCTTCCCTTTCCTTCTCCACAAGAAGAGTTGTCAAGACTGAATTATATTCTCCAAAATTTCATGTTTAATAAAATAAAAAAAAAATCAACTTGATTGAGCACTATTTGTTAAAGAATCACATATATCATATAAAACCACTCTGTTTTTTTTTAGAGCAACTTAAATGATTATACGTTGGCCAAGATCCGTTTACTATAATTTGGTAAAGAACCGAAAGTTTTTGATTGTCTCTTATTTCTTATTGAATTCAAACTTTTTCCTCTTTCAGTACTCTAAGAATTTTCTGTACCATTCTTGGAGGGTTTTGTCTTACTTTGAACACAGTTATAAATGAAGAAAACAGTATTAGTCACTTATTTCTATCTGCACAGCTCAGATATTTCTGCAAATTGTTTTTATCATTTAAAGGGTGACTATTTAAAAGGTAAGCAAAGTTAGGCATGTTATTTCATTTTTGTTTGAGTAGTAGTATTACGAAGCATTAAGTGAAATGATCTCTAAAATTGCTACATCTTTTCTGAACCATAGCTAGAAGGGGAAGAATCTCAAAAAGAATGGGAAAAGCAAGAAGCTCTTGTAATGAAACTGCAAAATAAATTTCCCAGTTTGGATAAAGAGGTAAGCTAGTATGTGTCTTTTGGGGGCAAACCTACTGTTTATGTAAAAATGTAATAAGCACAGGACCAGATTTTAGCTCCCATTCCAGCTGCTTAACCACTTACCTGGCCAACGGGAATTTCTAGATGTCATGGAGCCAGCCAAGTGACCCCAGCACAAGCAGTGTTTCTACGGAAAAGGGTTCATGGCAGGAACACCTTTCTGCTGCTGCTATTGGCATGGTCTCTTGAGACTATAGGCAATTGGACATAAATTAGAATATGTAAACCCTGTTGGCCCATCCTCTGGTCCTGCACTAAGCATGGGTTGTCCAGACGAGAGAGTCTGACCCACAGTATGAATATATGTGAAAATTATTTAGGCATACTACATTATTTTATCATTAAAATATTCATGTTGTTTTTAGAATTCAACTTTTTTCTTTAAACTGGAGTAGGCTTATCTGTATAGGCCATTACGTGGGATACCTGCTTTTTAGAGGAAGAATTATTAGAAACTGTGATGGTGGTTGTATAAAGAGCTTTTAGTGGTTTTATATTTTAAATGTGGAAGGCCAAGTATACTACCTATACTAGGAAGGTGGTAAGTTGATGATGTGCAATATTCTGAAGTTTGTGTACAGTGTTTCCTTGCATTTTCATCTAGAATACTGTTAACTTTAATTAGAAGACCAGTTGCATCGTAGAGAGATAATGGAAGTTAGGAACAGTTTTTTAAAAAATCAGGTACTTAGTTACAATATATTTAGTATGCATCGTGCATCCTGTGCATAAGCGTAGGGATTAATCAAAGGTTTTATCAGATACTTGTTTGAGAAGTGCTGCTCTTGTTCCTAATTGTTAAAGAATATACTTTTTGCATAATGGTGCGATAATGAAAATCCTGTTTTAATAGGAACTGAAAGATGTACTTCAAGAACATAACTGGGTGTTTCATGAAGCACTGGAGTCTTTAAAAGTATTTGCAGAAGACCAACAGGGTAAATAAAGACAGATTTACAGTCCATTTTATTCAGTAATAAAATAACAGATGTTAGCAGTGTAAATCTCCTTAATGTCTAAATAAGACAATCCTGACTGATTAAGATAATATCTTAAAAGTTGCAGTGATGTGCAAAAACAGTTTTTAAGGGGGGAGAAAGGAAAAGAATATAAAAGAAACTGGTTTTTAATGTTGAAAAAGAAAGTATATATGTTGAATTTGCATCCTATTTTTATGGAGTTGCATGCCTTTTCATATGGAAGTTAAGACAAGTGTATTTGTTTGTCAAGTGCAAATTTACACTTATGAGCATAACTCCCTATTCCAGGGGTTCTCAAACTGGGGGTCGGGACCCCTCAGGGGGTTGCACCTTATTACATGGGAGGTCGTGAGCTGTCAGTCTCCACTCCAAACCCCGCTTTGCCTCCAACATTTATAATGGTGTTAAATAGATAAAGTGTTTTTAATTTATAAGGGGGGAGGAGGGGGTCGCACTCAGAGGCTTGCTATGTGAAAGGGGTCACCAGTACAAAAGTTTGAGAACCACTGCCTTGTTTGTTTGTTTGTGTGTGTGTGTGTGTGTGTGTGTATGTATATGTGTATATATATATATATGTATATATATGTGTATATATATATATATGTATATATATGTGTATGTATATATATATATATATATATATAAAATATTTTGTGATAAAACATCAAACATGATTCTCTTTGAATTGAGTAGTTCACAAAGTACTAATCTCAAGGCAATAAAAGTGACTCAGTAAATCAGTCTATCCTATTTAAGAAGTCTGTTAGCATAGAAGTAATATTTAGACTGTATTTAGGGTGAAATAATGCACACCATATTCTTAAAAGTCCAGTGAAATACCAATACATGAAATTTGGTAGAAATAAGCATAATACCACTGACAAATATGCAGACTACTACAAAGGAAATACCCCATATTTAATATAAGCAGATACTGCACCTTAATTCTTTAATATTGCAGTAATGCCAGGAAGCACCAATCAAACTCAGGAGCCGCAGTGTGCTTGCTACTATACAAAAGTAGAGAGTATTTCTGATCTGAAGAATTTACAAAATGAAATATCATTTCCGTTGTGTTTCCATTAGGATATGTATGTCACAAGTACATAAACAAATGTATCTTTTAAATCAAGTCATTGGTGATGTGATTAAAATCTCCAAACTGAGTTTCCTTAATCCGATCATCTAAAAGGCAAGGCCCAGCTGCAGCAACAAGACTTCATACATGCAAAAGGCTATTTTACCAGGGTCTTTTATTACTCTAGTTCTCATAGAATAATAGGACTGGAAGGGACCTCCAGAGGTCATCTAGTCCAGTCCTCTGCACTCTTGGCAGGACTAAGTATTATCTAGACCATTCCTGACAGGTGTTTGTCTAACCTGCACTTAAAAATCTCCAGTGATGGAGATTCCAAAACCTCCCTAGGCAATTTCTATAATTTTCTTTGTTTAAGAACGTTTGTTTTCATAGACTTGTTGGCAGAAAATGTTGGTAAAATATGAGGAAAAAATACAGAATCAAAATTATAGATTAGAAGCATATCATGTTTACTGTGCACAGATGTGCACTTGGTTCCAGGAAGAGTGGTGAGAATTTATTCCCAGGATTACAGAGGCTGTATCTTTGCGTGTATCACCACAACAAAATTTTTTTTAAGATAGCGTATGATGGGCTGTTGGGTCGCTGTAGGCTGATAGGTGGATACATGTGCTGTATATCTTATGAAAACAACTTATAATAGGTTTGTGCATGAATGTAATAATAAATTGTACTTAAGTGTGCTGCTCGAAGACTCATTGGGATAGGATAGTGCTTTTTACGTGATCTTCATCTCCATGGAAGAAATATCAGTGTTGAAAGGCAGCTGCACATTGCCTTTCCTTTTTAGGAAAAAGGGTTGCTTAGGATTTATGAACCTAAAGCAGGGTTAGACAGGAGAATAGACATTACAATATTAATAGTATTAAAGTATATTTTTAAATTGAGAGGTCAAAAAGATACACCTTGACACTTTTTTTTCTAAAAAGGACTGATAATTTATTTTAAGAAAAAAATGAGTTAATTATTTTAAAACATGATTAGGGTTATAAAAAATCAGAAGTTCATAACTGAACCAAAAACATTTTGTTTATTTTAAAAACTCTAGTTTCTCAAGTTACTTGAACAGGTGCATGCTTTTGGTGTCCCGCCCGTAATGCTGCTGTGCGATGCAGTAAAGTGAGACTAGGTTTATGCTTTTTTTTGTGGTGAAAACGTGCTAAATCAGGCTTGTTTGCTTAATCTATCAGCAAAATTATTTTGGGGGGGGGAGGAAACTATTCCATTAAAATCAAACTTCTATGTCAGATTCCTTAGAGTATCAAAGGTTGCTTTATACATATTACAATTTTGACCATTTTTGCCTTAATGCAGTTAATTAAACCATTGTGTGACTGGCAGTGTAGCTTAAGTCCTACTAATATAGATTCTCTGAATTTATATTTATGATAGTTAACAAGTTGAAATTACTTGGCTTTTAATTAGAATTGTATATATAAAGTGTTCTAATCTTATGGTTTAAGTCTTTTCATTGTGATTCCAATTACTTGATAATTTTGTATTTGCTGTGGTAGTTACACCTTTGTAAATATACAGGGAAAGGTTCCAAACGCAGCTTGAATAAAGGTTTACAATTAGTAAACTGAAATTTGTTCCACGCTATATATAAAGCAGAGGAGAGTGTTGGCGTTTACATAAGCCTTTATTTTGAAAAGCAGCAGTTCTTATGAAGATTTTTGCTCTTGAACAATGCATCTTATTTGTCATTTACTTTTTTACATTACATACACAGATGTGCAATATCCTTCCAAAAGTGAAGTTTCTAGTTGGAACGAAGTCTCCACAAATAGCAAAAAGCACTATAATAATGACACTAAAGTGAAGGTGAAACAGAAATCTTCTGCAAAAGCTCAGAATGGCTTTAGGAAAAAAGATAAAGGCAAAAAAGGTGTTTGGAGGACTAAAAGAGAAACAGAAGATTCAGAATACGAGTCAGCTTCAGAAGGTGGTAGCTCCCTTGATGAGGACTACAGCAGTGGTGATGAAGTGATGGAGGATGGTTACAAAACTAAAATAGTTAGCTTCCTGCAAGATGCTTCACTAGGTGAACTCACTTTGATTCCTCAGTGTTCTCAGAAAAAGGCTCAGAAGATAACGGAGCACCGGCCCTTTAATAGTTGGGAAGCTCTGGTAAGTCTGCATTCTTTTTTTAATATTCCTAGTATGTTTATAGTCAAGGTATCTTCAGTCTAGGGAGGCATAGATAGGTGGCCTTATCCTGAATAGGGTAAAACACTATATTCATTTTAAGCCAATAGCATTTCAAATAGTGTCATATGACCTAATTTTGAATGAATTAAGGGGTGATTTTCCTGAAAAACCCAAGCTGATTGGCTGGCAATACTGTCACTCATTCTTTAGCATAGAAACTTGGTTCATTTCACTGCAGAAGAAGAAATTAGAGCTTTCATTTAGGAAGGAGTTGTTTGCTAGCCTGTTCTGATCTGTTTTAGCTGAAAAACCATGCAGAAGGCAAGAATGTAGCAGAACTTTTACTGCAGCTACTTTGAGCAGCAGCAACTTCCAAGGTAGCTCCATGATTGAAGATGCCAGCATGGATATTTTAAGCTTCACCATAGGAGAAGCAAATGTTTTGTTCTATTTTTCTTTTAATATTGCAACTCAGTCACTAGCATGGTTTTGCTGGCTAAGCAGTGCGGCCATTTTAAGGATTGTAGCATTCAGCTGTATTTTTAATCAAAAAGGTAGAAAGCATCAGGAAACCTAAAAGACATACTATCACTAAATGGGAAAACATCAGGCACTGGTAAGTACGCGATGTACTGTCACTTACTGAATTTTATTTATTTTCAAATGTATTCCATAATGTATCTGTTTGTTTAGAGTTTTGTGTGTTTCAACAAAGTGAAAGACCTCAAACCTGATCTGTGCAGCATTGTGATAGGAAATTTGAAGCACTCAGGCAGGAAATGTTGTGGATTTCAAAAGTTTTTCTTAAGCTACTGTGTGATGGCACCGGCTTTTGGAGCAAATAAGTTTATAGGCCCTTTTAAAAATAATGGATATAGGTTTTTTCATCAGTATGTGTTTTTAAAAAAAAAATCTATTGTATGCATGTTTTTAATGTTTTTTTTTTTTTTTAAAAAAAGCTATCTTTATACTTAAAGAAAGAGGAAGACATTGTAATACAATGTAACCTTGCAGTACTTTGTGTGCAAATATTTCACACCATAAAAGTATGAGATCTGGATCAGATTTTTCAGAAAATTACATTAATAATCGCATGTGTCATAAAGTATTCAAAAAATATAGAAGTACAGCTTCACAAATATGCTGCAAAAGAAATCCGTTTTGCCTGAAGCCTTTGGCTTCTTAAAGAACATCTGTCATAAGTCTGTTCCTTCCCAAACTTGTTGGGCTTTGCCTGAGCTGATTCTTTGGGAAAGTATTTGCTAAAGGGCTACCTTCTCCCTCTCTATTTGCTAAAATATTTTAACAGAATCAAGTTGTATGGGCTTGTTTGATTGAATTCAAAATATTTCTTTCATATAGATTGTCTTTGTCAGCACTCACATGTTTGTATAGTCGCTGTAACCACATGCCCAAAATGTAACTAAGATACAGCATACTAGTTTTTAGCAGATGTTTAATAGGGATATAGTTTTAATTGTTTTTTAAAAGATCCAGTATTCAGCAACCCAATACTTTCCCTACTAACTAATACATTGGAATAATATAACAATTTGGATATTTTTTTAATAAAAATTTAAAGCTAAGCCAAATCTTTTCAAGATTTTTTTTTTCTCCAACTTTTTCACATGTAAAATACATGGTAGTCTATTAGAAATTATCCTTGCTTGTATAGTATTAGAAAAAAACTTGTAATCAAAAGATGATTAGGTTAAGGGCTAGCAGTGTATTACAGTAGATATTCAGCAACTGTAGTAAAAGCTTCATAAATGCATAGTACAGGAAGGCTTACATTTCAGTTACCAAGAGTACTGCTGTATTAGAGATAGGTGGAAAAGTTAATTTTCTGAGAATTGAATTGAAGGGCTTATTCTATGAAAAATCAAGTCTCCACTCTAAAGAATGCTTTTTTCTGTTCTGAAAAATCAGCATCTTAATTGCATTGTACTGGACAAAAATCTTTAAATGCAGTTTGTCAAGGAATTGCAGATTGTTGTAACTATTAGGAATATTTTGAAGTTATTTAAATTGAATCTTAATGGCTGAGGCAGAATATATAGCTATTTCTCCTGATGAACAGTAGAAAGTGCAAGTATATAATAGTGGAAAATGTGCTGGAATAAAAAATTCTCATTCATTAAAGGGGAGGTGGTTAAATATGTAAAGGAAAGTATAGGCAGTTGAATGGTAAATATGGTAAAGTTAAATATGTAAAAAGAATATGGAGTAGAACTGTAGAGAAGTGGCATTAATTTTCAATCTTGCAACAATATTGAATATACAGTTTGTTTTTAATTGTTTTATTCAAACTTATGTTAGTGTATGCTTCAGTTTAAGGCAGGATGAAAGAAATGTGCATAAAACTTACTGTAATATTTTTTGCCAGTAATTCAGAAAGTTACAGCACTTTCTCTCCAAAATAAAGAGATTTTTTTTTAATATTGTCTTCCTGTTACTCTGGTAAATTAGTGGCTTTCAATGTAAGGACAATGTGTATTTCTCTTAACAATGTCCTCTATATTAGTATGGCCATTTCAAAATGCAGCTGATTGAAATTTGGTTCAAGACCAAATGTTTTTAAATAATCTATGCAGTATCAAAATCTGTTCTGTATTTTGCTCGTTTTAAAAAAATACTTTTTGTCATTCTGCTCAGTTTTTTTCTAAATATCATTAACTATAATAGTCATCAATACAGATTGTGCTTTCGTAGTCTTATGCTTTCAAAATCATAACTGATAAAGTTGGTAGATGACACAAATTATGGAGTGGTAGGTAATGAAGATGGCAGGTCACTAATTGAGAGCAATCTGGATAGCGTGGTAAACTGGGCACAAGCAAACTGTTTTGGTACAGATAAATGTCCATGTATCCATCTAGGAACAAAGAACGTAGGCCATACTTACAGAATGGGGGACTCTATTCTGGGAAGCAGTGACCAAAAAAGATTTGGGGGTCATGGTAGCTCATCAACCGAACCTGAGCTCCTGTTGTGATACTGTGGCCAAAAGAGTTAATGCAATCCTGTGATGTGTAAACGGGGGAATTTTGAGTAGCAGCAGAGAGGTTATTTCACCTCTATCTTTGTCACTTGTGTGACCAGGGCTAGAATACTGTCCAGTTCTGGTGCTCACAGTTCAAGAAAGATATTGAGAAATCGGAGAAGGTTCAGTGAAGAGCCACGAGAATGATTAAAGGATTAGAAAACATGACTTAGAGTGACAGACTCCAAGAGCTCAATCTATTGAGCTTCACAAAGAGAAGGTTAAGGGGTGGCTTGATAGTCTGTAAGTACCTACATGAGGCATAAATATTTAATAATGGGCTCTTCAGTCTAGCAGAGAAAGGTATAACGTGATCCAATGACTGGAAGTTGGAGCTAGATAGAATCAGACTGGAAATAAGGTTTAAATATTTAACTGACAGTAATTAACCATTGGAACAATTTACCAAGGTTTGTGTTGGATTCTTCATCACTGACCCTTTTTAGATCAAGATTGGATGTTATTCTAAAAAGATCAGATCTAGGAATTATTTTGGGGAAGTTCTATGAAAATTAATAACATTTTCTCAGATCATTCAAACTGCCAGTAAAATAAAGGTACTTGTGCACAACCCAGTAGAGTAGGATCTCAGTGGAGGCAATGAGTGAGATTCTGTGCTGTGTTTCTGATAGACACAACGCAGAATTTGCAGACCAAGGGTTGAGGTGGTTGGGGCTAAGGTGGCTTTAAGTATCCTTTGCACCCCATCTGAGCCTGCACTGTTCTGTTGGCTGGAATAGCCCACATCATAACTGAGACAGCCCCGGAGACCTGTCTAAATTATGGTAGTATCCTGAGGCTGCCATATGAGTCACTGGGCTGTGTGCTTTGGGTCCTGCCTTGGCATGCCCTTTCCAGCCCTGCCTCTGACATATCCTCTGTGCTAGGTAGGGTTGACAACCCTCCAGGATTGGCCTGGAGTCTCTAGGAATTAAAGATTAATCTTTAATTAAAGATTATGTCATGTGATGAAATCTGCTGGAATACATCCAACCAAAACTGGCAACCCTAGTGCTAGGGTTTGAAAGCGGGCCTTGGAAGGCCATCTTATGGTCTTCTTTGGTATCTGTGCAGTAGGAATTTCTCTGCAACTAGAACTGAGGCTTTTAGGTATCCTTAACACTGCTGTTGCCCTTTTACCAGGCATAAAGGGGCCAGAGTAGGGGTGACGATGTCATCCTATGGGTTTAGTCCATTTTGAACAAACTGTTCTGACATTTTTAGAATTAAGGACAATTTTAATTTGAAAGCCCATCACCACCATCCATGCACTCATTTTCAGAGTGACTGTGGTAATTAGAAGAGGTGCTGAGTAGAACTTTTGTATGTGAACCCTATTGCATATATTGGCAAAGAAAGATCTCAAGCTGCACATAATATTTTGTGTTCTCATTTGGGTCCTATTGGAGTAAATGCTACTAAGGCCTTTAATTTTGGAGGGAGTAAGGTCTTCTGAAACTTTCCACTGTTAACTGTTGTTCAAGCAAATGAGCTGGTCAGAGCATTCAGTTATTTGAATAGAAACTAGTGTATTTGGGAACTTCAGTTGCATAACAAGAATTTTCATTAAAAAGAACTCAAAATATTGTGGGTTCCAGAACTTTCCCTTAAAAACTCTAGTTAATACATATGCCATATCTGTCATAACTTCCTGCAGTCAGCCCTGTGCAAAAGTTAAAATATAAGTAGTCTTAATTTTTATACCCTAAAATAATGGAAACTTGTGTAACCCCCAAAACATTCTCTCTTCACCCAAGCAACCACTTGTTCTTATTGTTTTCATCTTTGTCCTGCCCAGTCTACACCTAAAAGCTCTTAATATTTTTATCCTTTATTCTTAATTTAACATAGGTCCCAATCCCACAACTACTGAGTTTTTAGTGTTTACTATCATGAATATTTCCACTAAAAGTTATGTGACTACTGATGGTAGTGA